CGCCCCATCTCCCAAGGCTCTTTTCCGGCACGGGAATCTGGAGGGTCGCACTGGATTAATATTAAATAAGGGAACACGACCCCTCCCCGCCCCCCCCCAGAATGGGCAACTTAGCTGGAAGTCCCGGTTGCCAACTGCCAATTACCGGTGACCAATCGCCTCCCTAAATCGGAGCTTCCTTGTTCGCTCGGGGCTGTATGGTTTCAAGGGACCTATCCCACAACTGGGATTGCTGTAATTATTACTTTAAAAAACGACCGGATCCTCCTTCAGGTGAGATCCATGTCAGCGCCGGCGGCATGTCCCATCCAAGCGAAAGAGCTGCCCATCAGTGTCGGAAGATCACCCAGGAAAAGGGGGGAGCCGGACACCCAACCGATTCCTGACGCATGGCAAAGTTTTCTAGTCTCACCTTTGAAGCAGTCCCCGAAGAAGCACGTTTGGAAGAGGTGGACTTATCCGCACGCAGGCGAACGTGGCTCCCATTGTTTCCCGACCGGAGAAGCGCAGAGATACAATTTTGTGTATTTCATTGGTTTCAAGCGATGGCTCTTCTTTGTCAACGCATAGCGAGGATTCGGCGGTTTAAATACCAGGGACCAGAAACGTCTCGGCAATGCCGCCAATTCTCCTTCCTCACTTCCCTCCCACTTGCTTCTCTCGCTTGCTCTGTCTGTCTGGCTGCTGCTGCTTTTTTTTCCTCCTCTTTTCGCACTGATTCTGTCTGCCTCGATCTCTCGGTGCGACGCGGCTTCAGTGGTCTTGCTGGTGCGAAACTGTCCAATCTCTAGCCTAAGTGGGCATGTGCGAATGCTTTGCACATGCCCATTAACAAGGTGACGCCGCACAGAAGCCGGTGCCCTTAACCCTTTTCCCGGAGCTTGCCTAAAATCCCCCCTTTTCCCTCCAAGGGAAAAGGTGCTATCAAGCGGACGGAGAATGGAAGCCAGTCTTTGTGCCGATGAGCGCTTGCGCACGCAGGGGTCTAAAACCAATGCAGTAGAAGCGGGGGCTTGAGCATTACGAAAGAAGGAATAATAATAATAATAATAATAATAATAATAATAATAATAATAATATCTCTAAGAGAACAGGTGAGTGGAGATTAACATATAAAGAGAACAGGGGAGAGCAAGCCGAGGAAGTATTGCCCTCTGGGAAGGGCGGTAAGGAAGGCTTACACTGAAAAGCCTGGCAAACAGGGTGGGTTTTTATGGCTTCCTTCTAGGCTGAATTCGGAAGGCAATGCAGTCTCCGGATATGTTGGACAGCATCTCCAATCAGTCCAACAATTCTGGCCAAGGATTTCTGGGCAGAATAGCTTAGATCTGGACTGAGGAGCCTAGATCAGTCCCTCTCACAACCGAATTACCTGTGGGGTGTTAATGGCCAACAGTTGACTATGCTAGAAGTTGTAACTATTTCTAGAGGACACCAAGTTGAGGAAGACTGGTGTAGTGTGGTGTTTTATAGACAATTCCAGGTTGAGGGAATCCCTACAATATGCCTTAGGAAGAAGCAGCTTTCTAGACCCTGCCCCCTAGTCAGTCCAAGCAAGAGAAGGGGTGAGCAAACCAGCAGGCGAGGTAGAGGAGAAATGCTATCTCCCCGAAAACAGAGGGTTCATCAGCAGCTTGCTTGGAATGGAGAACGTGCCAGCTGCCACTTTGGTCTCCCTAGTGGCCCTATAGGGTATTTACCCAAATCCTATCAAGGTAGCAAGAAGGAGAACAAGTGGGTGCACAAAATCATTTTATGCAAGGAGCAGTTCCTCTGGACAGTAGCTGGGATTGGGTCCAGCAAATCCAATTCTCTCATCTGTCCTTCCAGAAAGAGAGAAATTGGAAATGAATAAGCATTATTCACCATGCTGGGGAGGAGAAACCATGGTTTGCATTTCTTTGCTGTAGGTAATCTTGTTTTACCTGAATCAGCAGATAGAGCTCCCCAGAGAGTGAGATATTGGTCAGAGAAAAGTAGCATCAACCACTTCTAACCACAAATACTTGCTCAGCTCTGTCATAGCACAGAGATCAAGAGAAGGAAAAAAGATGTGAAAGTGTAAAAGTGGGCAGTGCTCTTCTTGCACCTTTGCTATTTTCTTGGGTGACATAGCAGAGATACCTAATTGACTGAGGACATGTGCCAGGTGAATGTAAAACTCACTACTACATGCCTCAGTAATTGGCTTTTTTTAATGCAACGTCCTGATGACATTGCCTTTGTCTCATTCCCAACTCATAGCTGAGGCAGCTTAAGGTCATCGTTTGCTGTTCTTGTTTTTGGGGACATGATCTAGCGCACTTCATTCCCTATGTGTTTGCTGATGCTACCAGGAATCAGATCTGTCCAGCTCCTATCCTATCTGTCCACTTTAGGCTACTCTTCAGTCTCTGGGAAGTACACAACAATGTCTGCAGGAGATGAACAAAACATTATAATGTGAGCCTTACTCCTTTTGAATGTGTGTCTCAACTTACAATGTGAAGTTCCATCTGCTTGTTGATTTTGTTGATTTTGACCCTTCCTGTGGATGCTATTGGAAGTGTCTGACATGGCCATTTTTGCTTGGGCTGCAGAATTATTTGCCTATATAATGACCATAGTCCTTGTAAAGTTTTAAGTTGGCTGCTTATAAACAGGTTTATAAGACAATGGGTCTGCCACACTGTCCAGAGGTGTAGCAGAAATGAGGAAGTGAGCAAGAAGATGCGTTTGATGTTTCTCACTCTGCCTGTATTCCCATATATTGGATGATAGCTAAAGCAAATTAGAACCATGATGTCCAAAAAGAATGTGCGGCTCAGGAAGTGGCTGTTTCCTTTTGCTTGCTCACTTTCCTCCTTCCTGAGGGTATCACTGAATGGCTACATCAGAGTACCTGCCTCCAGCTCTTTAGCCAGCACAAAAGAATGCCAACATAAAAATTGCTACCTGCTTTGCCAAGCTATACTGTGCCATGGTAATGAGGCCAGCAACTGGTGCTATCCTTAGGATTGTTATTTGGGACAGGTTAATGAAAGGGGTTGCTGATCCCCACTGAGGATCATCTGTTGGAGGGAAAACAGCCACCAGTAGCTCTCTCTTAGATGGAGCAGAGTGGGGCTTGGTAAGTATAGGCAGGTGCTTGTAATGGTGTGTATTCAATGGCTGTGATTTTCAAGTCAAGCTGTTTCTCACAGGTCTAGTGTTCTTCTGAAAGAGCACTAAACTGTGTCCAAAAATAGCGCGGGTTACAAACTGCAAGCATTAAGGAAGAACATGGGATTAATCAGGAACCATAACAGTGAGCTCCATCCTCAGTGCGTGCTGCAAGGGAGTGGGCAGTTCACAGTGAGCCAGGTTCTGTCTTTGTGGCTGATAGCATGCAGAAGTAGCCCCTGGTCAAAGGCATCAGGCATGTGTGTGTGTGTGTGTGTGAAAGAGAGACAAAATAATCAATTCTATGGATCATCTGCAGCTCTTCCTTCACCATTCACTTGTTTGAAGTGCTGTCCTGGACTCTTTGCAGGCTGAGTGGGAGGTGTTACATATAAGTGATAGAAATTGGTTGGTACCAGTAGTCCCTCCTTATATAGTGGGATCTGACAATTTCATGAGCTCTGATAGCATCTCTACTCTTAGTACTTGCACTCAGCATCTAGTTCTACCTTATAAAATAGTTTTTGGATATCTGGATTCAGTTGTTGACCTTTGGATTGTAGTAAAGAGAGCGAGAGACAACATCATGCAAACTGAAGTCTGTCCATTACTGATATGAAATGTAGAAAATGATATCAAAGAACACAATATAATTTTTATATAGCCATTCTCTTTACATTTTTCATTGATATATTGAGATTTGTTATTATTTGATTTCGAAGATGTCAAAATCATATAAGGATGCTGTGATATGATAACTATAAAGTATACCTCCCACTGGGGCTACCCATATCTGGGCTGAAAAATGTGACAAGACCACTAGAAGGCACCCAGTACTACCTCTTTGCTGCCATCTTGTGGTGATTTGGACTTTTGTGGCACAGATATGATAGCTGTAGCCTTCACCTTATTCTTGTGATAACTGGAATGTCTCCTTGATTTTCTTACAAGGAATAATCA